TTTGTTAGTATTCACATATCAATAGTTGCTCAGTTGGCGTAGTATGTAACCTTCATGCTGAAATTGAGTTCTAGTTTTCTTTGAGCCAGTCACCTGAGTTGCAATGTCATGTCGCTAACAAATTAAAATTAAGGAAAATTAAGTTCTGACACTGTCACTTTTGTATTCCACCAAATAGGATGATTCCTAATTTCGTAACACCAACTGTCAAAAATGGTGGAGAAAGCAGGCGGGTCTGGGGCTTTTGTTGGATCCAAAGTCAGCAACTTGCACTTTCTGGCACTATGAACCAAAAAGACATGCACAGCATTTTGCAGTGCCATTGAATACTTTCTAGCATAGTTAGTCCAGAGTTCATCCTACAGCAGGATAATGACCTAAAACATACCTCCAGGCTATGGCAAGACTACCTCAGAAGACTTGAAGGCCTCAAATCATGGAATGATGGACAGTAGAGTCTTTAGACTTAGACCCCATGGAGCTGGTTGAACTGGATAGAAGAGTGAAAACAAAGCAACCTAGAAATGCAACACATTTGCAAGAACTTGTGCAATAGTCAGTTTGACCCAACCACATAATTTGGATTAGAAATGTGGATTTTGTTAAACAATAATTGCATGACTTCATGTATTTATTTATGAAGATGTATTTATAAAAAAAATAAATAAAAAAAAACTCTGTTTGCAAACACATTTCCCATTTGGGATAATAATCCAGCGCAAAACTGAAGTAATAAACTCACATATATTAACGAAAGAGATTAAAACTGCCACTTTATGCCAATATGGTCTCTGGCCTCTAGTATAGTAGGTATGGTTCCATTCCCTCTTGACCTCCTGCTGCTGTGTCCTTGAGTTGACTCTAAATCCAGTAGTACTTCTCCAAGAGGGACCAGAATGAATCACTCTGAATTACTCTTCAAGTAATTGCAGAGAAGAGTTAAAGGGTTGAAATAGAGGTTGAAGGAGAAAACGAGATGATCTGTCTTAGCAAATGGGATTTCTGCCCCCTACATGTCCAAAGACGGTAGAGCTAAAATAACAGCATAACTTTTATTAACTCAGCCATATGACATATTGAGTAATACTACTTACCCTCTTTGTGCCAAATCCTCTTTTATTTGCTCTGACGGACTGGAAGGACCAGCAGCATTGAGGGTGAAAAAAGGAAGCAGAGGCTTTGGTGTGGTGGAGGATGCGGTGGTGTTTATGGACATGTCATTTATGATGGCACCCTCATATCTGGAGATTAAAGCAGTAAGATGAGTGGCAGATGCTTTGTGTTTTGTATTAGGAAGAGGACGGAGGGGTGTGAGATGGCTTTTGAATTGACATGACCGATTGTCCTCCATGGTGTCCTGCTTTCGAGGTTGGGGTTTCACGGTTAACGGGTCTCTTCCAGAATAACTGCCTTTTCATCTATCTCTCTGTATCTTCATGTACCATTTTGGGCTGTAGTGCCTACAGTTGTATCTTTTGTCCTATTAGTGGATGCTCATTCACAAGAAAACCTTAAATATTTCAAGCACTGATTATGACAATCATATCTGTTGAAAGCTATCTATTGGCTAATTTTAAATAGCTGGCAATGGAAAAAGATGCTTTTTGGACTCATAATGGAGAAATTACATCTATGACAAGATCAAGACCATGAGAATATGATCTTGGACTCAGACTCGAGACCTAACCAAAGATTAAAATCCACTCTTGTGTTTGAATATTTGAGTTATTATTTCAATGAACTAGAAATTACTACTTTTTTATTTTTCTTTTTTTAAAATAAACTTTTTCTAATATGATGTCAAACACTAAGCAATGAATAATCAAATAATTATATAGTGAACACACAGTTCTTACACAATACACAATTCCATATTTACCCGCTGTAAAACTATAAACTTCTCTTTAAACAACAGTATTTTATTATGTGAATTGCGCTGACATTATGGCATTGAAAATTAACTATCAAAGTTTTAACTGGCAAATAATGTTTTTATGTTTTGCAAAATGGTCTGTTGTAATAGCCAGTTGGTTCATAGACAATAAGGAGCAAGCAGTTTAAATTGTAATGTTTATTGGCATATTAGTCAGGTTTAAAAAAAGAAAGGAAAAAAAGACCTTTTTGCTAGAGTGATTGTAAAGACCCTCTGTTTACTCATTAAACTTTATTGTGGCCCATTATGTTTTATTGCAAAGATTCTCTTGTGTGTGAAATTCAGCAAAAATGCTTACATTTTAAATGCTTAAAATGCTTTAAAATTTTTAAAGGTTTTAAATGCTTAAATACTTTTACAATCACATAAGATAAAGAATAGTATCAATAGCTGAAAAAATTGTTTTATTTTGCATGGAGTTTATCCATGGGTCGACTACATTTATGTCACGAGCTGTAAGAATGCAACTGCCATTTCGGCCAGAGCAACATAACAAAACACACTGACTACATTTCAGTAGGTTAATTTGATATAGCACAATAAACTATTACAACCTAATTTTATAACTGTTTGGTCTATAATGATGTCATTTATATGTATGGAGCCAGCTATATTTGGCCTTACAGCATGAGCTTTGCTATGCTGTTCTGTGATTTGCCACAAATAGATGACTTCATTTAACACTCCATTACACAGTAAACAGGACCGTCAACTGTGACAGTGCAAAGACAGATGCACTAGTATCCTTCTGCGTAAAGCTGTTCTAGGTCAGCTTCTAGTCTATTTGTGTCATAGTAGCACACCACTAAGTATAATCTGCAACTAGATTATTACATTGTTGTGACGAGAGGGGTGGGGCCGAGAGCCGTGGGAACGGAGCGAGGCCGGTGGATTAAATGCTAATGCACAACACCTGCGCCACTCACCGGTCTTGAGTCCCACGGAGGAGCTCCGGAAGGATAAAAGGAGGAGTGACGAGAGAGGACCAGGCCTGGATTTTATTTTGTGTTTTGGTTCTGTTTGTGTGTGGCAGTCGTCGGTGAGGGGCTGTCGCGCTATTTTCTTATTAAAGTTTTGTTCAAATGTTCGCCGGTTCCTGTCTCTTCCTTCCCGTGAATACGAACATTGTTACATTGGTGCCGAAACCCGGTAAGAAGGAGGGACACGCTGCCAGAGTTCCCTCGCCGCTGTGGTGAATCCGCGGTGCCATCGAGCATGGCGGAGCAGTCTGCCGCCATGGACGCTCAAGGCGGTGGGCTGGAGTGAGTTGCCGGGGGGGTGGACGAACTCGCTGCCTGCCGCCTGGGATGTGGAGGGACGGCTGCCGTCCATGAGGGAGTGGAGGAGTCACCACCGTTTGCCTGAGCCTGCTGCCATCCGCCATGATGGGGAGGAGCAGGGAACGGGGGACTCCTGCCGGCTGCCCTGAATCCGGAGGAGCGTGTCGGGCCGTCCACCGAGGGCTATCCAGTGCCGCCGCCAGGCATCGCGGAAGAGTTTACCCAGCTGGTGGAGGGCCGAGCGGCAGTGTGTCTGGGAACCGGAACAAGAATTTTTTTTCTCTCTCCCCTCTCTCGTCTCTGTCTCTCCTCATTCTTCCGTCTCCTTTTCTCTCGCCTCGTCTTTCTGTCCTTACCCCCCAATTACGGAACGACCGCCGTGATCGGATCCCCCGGAGGGGAGTGGGGGGGATGGGGGGAGTAGAACGCAGTCTCGTGGGTGCCTGCGAGGGACGATGGGGGTATGTGATGAGAGGGGCGGGGCCAAGACGCCGGTTCCCGCCTCCTTCTTCCCATGACTACGAACGTTGTTACAATTGTATTCAATGTTCCAAAACTGAATGTGATCACTTTGCATTTAGTTTTTTTGTTTTAATCAGTACTTAAACTCATTTTTAAATTAACTAGAGCTTCAGCTATGTATCAGTTATGGGCAATTGAAAAAGTGACACAAACAATGATACATTTTGATTATTGTAAAGCCAATTAAATATTAGAAAATAGTCTTGATGAATTGCAAGCCTTTACAAAAAGCATGTAACAGATGTGAATTTACAAAATAGACACTTAAGTTTAAACCAACCCAGGCTCCTTGAAAAAAGCATGCCTGCAGGATTGTATTATGTTGCTTCTTGGATGTTACATTTTCAAAGTGAAATGTCCAGTGAGGGGAAGAAATATGAGTATCTGAAAGAGATGAACATGAATCTGGCAACGCTGTAAGTTGGTTGTTGTACATATCACTGCAGTTCAGAAAGAAATTGTCCTGTGAGTGATGAAAGGTTAATGTTCCATTGCGTGAAAATAACATACCAGTGACACTAAACCCTTCCCTAAATATATCCAATAGTGTTAACAAGAGCAAACCTGAGGTAAAAGCACATTTGCTAAAGCAACCATGCCATTTTAGCTTGCTTCTGTGCAAGTCTTTGACAAATTCTGTTATCGTGACTTATCATGACCTCTACATTGCAAGTGTATTACTGCACCAGGTGAGCTACTGAGCAAGTTTACTTGATCAGAAAAGCCGTACACATGGAGCTGTTTACAGTATGTAACACAAACATGAAAATGTATTAGTTTATAAATCGTGCAGTATGGTAAAAGTGTTTAGAGGTCATAACATAGTATTGTGGGAGAAACTATATGAAAATAAGTCTTTATTAATCGATAATCTGCCCCATAATCACAATTTGTGTAAAAAGGGATAAAAGTTGTTGGTGTTTTACGGCCACTAGTGTTCATTTCAAAGGTATGTGTTTGGGGGTATGCAAATATGCAGGTAGAGGAACATTTTTTCCAATTATTTTTGTTCCAAACGGTTACTTGAATTAGCGTAACTAGCCAAAGTATGATATTTACTGCAAACTTTTTGTACCTTGACATCACAAATTATACATGTTTGACAGTATTTTCACACTATTTTCTTGTTGGGGATCGAGGTCTTGGCAAAAGTCTGCTAATTCAGCCCCTCACTGTAATGACCCACTTTCGTTCTACTTAATAATGAGTTTAGGAAAAAGCCTTTACACTCTAGCGTAACCATTTCCCTATCTCTTTTCTTACAGGAACCAGACGGTTCTACACCAGTTCTGCTGTCCTGCTCCAGACGCCCCTGAGTCTGACTCTCAGGCCTGTGTACCCAGGTAGGGGGAGGGGTTGGTTGGTGCCTCCTGACCAAAAAATCAATTTCCACAGTAAAGACTGTGTTTCTGATGGTGCTAGGCAACACAACTGTCCTAGTTATACCTGTCTTGAAGTGGTTGTGAGTCTTTTCATGCCTTGTCTCCTCACAGTAAATTCAGTCCCCATTATCACAGTAAGCTGTGACCTTGACAGAGCAAAAACTGATATGATTTCCCTCTAAATCAGGCGAAAAGAAAAACGTGTATCTAATGTTTAACTGCCATGTTTGTCGGTAGGCATAAGTTCCGCTCAGCTGGCTTAGCTAGAGGCTACAAAAACCTTGGTCAGAGTAATTCCCATTTCTGTTAGCATAACCATGTTTTTTTAAAGGCTACAAAACTAAGAGCAGCAACCAAAAACAACTGCAAGATAATTAATTGCATTGGAAGTAATTATTCAAATATATAAATGTAAGTAAGTTGCTGTACGCTGTAAGTTTCCAAAGAGAAGGAATTTGTTTGTTCAAAAATGCTGTGTGAAGCAACCAATAACAGCCACTGTATTTGATGTCGCTTTGGGTAAACACATATGCTAAATGAATAATGTAAATGTTTAATATATAGTTATGTAAGATAACCAGTGAGGCGACGACAGTGGGTGACACAGCAAAAATTTTAACAAAGTTTTTGACAAGCTGTGTAGACACAGTTATGGTGTGTGTAGTATGACGCATTATTATGTATTCATAATTGAGGTATTAAAACCATTGTCAGATTAATCATTATTTTCATATTATCTGATTATATAGCCCATCAGGTTTATTATAAAATATTATAACCCTTTAATTCCTGTTGTTGTGCAGCTTTTCAGAGTGCCTTGAATTGGTGGGAAGTCATCAATAGTCATTAAGGAAAGCACTCCATATTCTGTGGATCTTGGCTGTTTGGAAAGGTTGTATTGAAAAAGAAGAGATGAGCACAGCAACTAAAGCAAACCGGTATTGATGATGGCCTTTCTCTCCCAAAGCACTGGCCATTGTTAGTTTGGTTGGAACACTGCAGTCGCCCACTGAGACGCCTCTAAATCTCACTGTAAACGACTTGATTCAAATCATTCAATTTATTTTACGTCATGAATTACTATTTTGGGCTATCAGGCAAACTTTTATTTTGTACTGTTTAAGCGTAAAATAAACCGTTACAGTCGTTCCTTTCCACTTGTGCACTGTGGATTGAGTTTACTTTCAAAAGGGAAACAATATTAACTTCATTGTTAACACTTTACAGTAAGGTCACATTAGTTGTCATTAGTTAATGCTTTAACTAACATGTGCTAACAATATACAGTACATTCGTTACAGTATTTATTCATCTTTGTTACTGTTAATTAACAAAATACAATCCTTTATTGTTGGTTTATGTTGCTCAAGTCCATTACATGAACATTTACTTTTTTATTTTAATTATGCAACTGAGATTAATTAATCTTTATTTATTTATTTATTTAGTTTGTTTGTTAAGTACTTACTGGGACCTTGTTGTAAAGTGTTACTGCTTTGTTTAACCACAACATTACTCTGGTGCTCTTTAGATATTACCATATTTAAATGGAACAGGATATGGAAAAAATTTAAACAAGAAAAAAGTTAAAATGTGAGGGTGTGCTGGACTATTTTAATTTAATTTAATTTTGTAATTTAATAATAATAATTTAAAATAAATGGTAGCTAAACCCATTTACTAAATGTTAATTTGGCATTTCAAAATAAAAAGACGCAGAAAGAGTGCTGAACATTTAGTACCAAATCCAAGGACCTCTCAGGTACAGAGAAGCAAACCACTTCAGACAGGGCAGTGACGGCAGTCCTTGAGTTGCTGGTTGTTTGCTTTTAGAGAAAATTAGTTCTCGTTTTCTGTTGTCTGTCAATTTTGACTGTTTGTCAATGAGCCAGTGTTCATGTTTCTCTCCTCATCACACCGCTGCGCTCAGAAACACCAATTCATTCATGCCATCTTTTGCGCACTCATAATTCACCACATGTGTTATAATGTTGTTATTACTATGTAATAACAGCACTATTGTATGCTATAAAACAGAATAACTTAAGTTTAATTCTTAAGGATTCTCTCACAAAACTCATTCTGATTCAGCTAGCTAAACCTGAAGTGTGATAGATAGATAGATAGATAGATAGATAGATGGATAGATAGAAAGATTCTGTCAGTCCAGCTGATTATACAATGAAAACGTTTGTAATTTAAATATGACAAGTTTGGAGTAGGAACCACAGTCAGACATTTTGGTCCTGGGTTAGAAATGTTGACAAAAACCATTACCCCAAGTGTTTAAAATATCAGCATATTGGCATAAAAACATCTCTGATCTCCAGTTAAGTCATTTTACACATCATAAACATCATGTTTCATCATTCATAGTCAGCTTTGAGGGGAAACTAGCTATGGTGTCTCTGCATGTTAATGGAGTAGAGTAGTGGCTTCTTGTTGTGTTTGTGTGTCTGCATTTCTTGCAGTCTTGAAATAGTCATTTACAACACACTCTAGCAAATAATCACCAACAAATGTGCCTTTTATTTAACATGAAGAAGAAAGAAATATCTCATAGTGAATTCAGGGTTTGCTTGGTGGGGAAGTTTTGCTTCATATGGTAATCATAACGATGAAAATGTGCCTGTCAGTTCTCTTAAAAGACCTCATTATAGTATATTTTCTCCTTACATTTTATTTTCCACTCATTGCAATTTTTACTAGGCATGTCTGTTATAACCAGTGTTGCCAAGTCCTCGGTTTTCCTGCGGAATTGGGCTACTTTTATAAAGATGCTGCAGGTTGAAGCAAAGGCCCCTGCCAACCAAAAGCTGAGGTGGAAGCCCTGGAAGGAGGTTTTGACCCTCCATAATGCAATTTTGATTAAATTGTTATAGCCATTTTCCCCAGAAATGCGATTGGGTTAGCTTTGAATACCAGTTGGGGTGGTTTTGTTACGCAGACCTGGCAACCCTGGTAACAACAATGTAAATATTGTGGGCTTCTTTCTATCTATATCTACATATTTTTTTCTCTAAGCCAACTGTAAATTAAGGACTAATCACAAGTGTTACATGTCAGGAAACCTTTTTATATTTTATATTTTAGATGTTTTATATCGCATAATAATAATAATAATAATAATAATACTTTTTATTAAAATATTTATTTATTTATGTATTTCCACTTTAGAGATACTTCAGATAATGTTCTTTCCACGGCTGCAGCTGAGATACTGTTTGCAGCTTTTTTCTTTGGTCTGGGATTGCTGTGAGAGGTATTGTTAGTTTAATATTTGTCAAGACCAGGAAGAAGGGAATCACAGATAGAAAATTTGCTTCAAGATAACACACCATGACAAGCAGCAGCTGCGGCCCTCCTATAAAAACACACAGCATAGCCATTATGGCATACGAGGGGACAGGAGTAACATGTGGGGTCTTTTATTACGAGTCACTAGCAGCTTTTGTCTATAAGATAACAAATGAAATCACACATAGTCTATGGATAAAGTGTATGACTGTAAGTAAGTCATTCTGGATAAACGTGTCTACCAGATCTATAAATGTAAATGTTATCATCACTGCAAAATCTCACATAATTAATTATTGCAAAGGGGGAAAAATATGTTAACACCATTTAACACTTCGGTTTATTAATACCCATACTTGCAAACAGAGCACACATTAACCCCAAGCAGGCCTTGACCTAAAACAACGTGATCTCATTACCAGCCCCAAATGGAATCTGCAGATTTTCATTTATTTATTTATTTTTCTCCAAATTTTGTGGAATTCTAGAGGAAAAGGTTTAAACATGGTCAAATGTGTTAAACAGTAGCATATAGTATTCTCTTATTGGGATTTAAAAGCATCATAAAAATAGAACTCAACGAACTCAAGAAACCTGTAGTGAGGATCACACTAAAAACAACGAATAAACTTCGAAATACCATATTTCAAGTTTAAACACACAACAATTTAAACAAGATCAACAGCATTTCAATAAATATTTTGCCACCAAAAAATAATTTTCCCCACAGAGATTCATTTACAACTTTCAGATTGTGTGCTAGAACTACACGCTATCGATAGGACTTGAATTACCTATGAATATTACGTATTCATGAGATCGCATTTAAAATGAAAATGTATTTTCATGTATCAATATGTAAATTAGTTACAAGTTCTTTATGACACTTCATTACTGTTATGAAGCATGACAGTACTCATATTCTTGACTTTCTCAATTGAATACCACTTCCTCTCGGCACTTAGGCACGCTTTAATGAGATGAGGTATGCTAATTAGTTTGCACATTCTAGCATAATGATCCGAGTAACTGAACAGATAATCAGTCATTCAACTCTCACTAACGCCATTGCATATTAAAAATAGGTGATACAAACAATACAATATAAGTCTGTAACATATATTCATTGATTATAGAAATATAAAATACAATATGTTTAAAATTTATTGCACGAAAAATACGTTGTTTTAGAGTGATCAAAATCATTCACGATGCAAGCTCTAGTTTATCAATTCCTATGGATCCATCTGATTGGTTGATCTCTGTTCAGTAGTCAGTTAGTAGTGTGTTTTAAATTTGGAATGAACATATTTCCACAGATCTTTTCTGCAGTTACTAGTTTTAGCACTATTAATGGCAGAAAAATGTAATTCGATTTATTACCAAAAGCACCTATAGCTTTAGCACAGTCTGATTATAATCCCAACACATTTGTACCCGCTGTCTCTGACAGTTGGTTTACTTAATGTGCTGGGCTTGCAGAGTTTTGTTAATTAATGAAATTAACAACTCATTAATTAGTATAACCATACTGGGTGCTAAAAGAATACTAAAAGAGAAACAATAAGCCAGTTCAACTGCTCTGCACAGAATTCACACTATTTTGGCGACAAAATGCATGCGTTTCTAGATCTTCAACCCCAATACTACCACATACCATCACA